TAAATTAATTGGTTTACACTTTCCTACTACGGCAGATAACTGATGGTAAAAGTGTAAACGTCTAACACTTACAGATGTTATTTTTCACTACTTCTACTTTTATTCGTTCATTGGGGTCTAGTGAATACTAGCTACCTGACGTTCTTCCTGTATTAGATGCTACTCGTTCGCCATTTGTGGTGTTTTGAAGTTTCATATAATTGTAGTTGGATTACTATATTTGTAGTTTTTACAGGTTTAAAGTTTATGTGCTTATTTATATTTTGAATTGTTTGGCATTCATTATAAGCGAGCAGATACTTATATATTTATTTTGTAGTCTAGTAGTGTGAAGGGAAACCCCTGATTGTAAAATCATTGCAAATTTTGTGGGCACTGATTTCGATAGTGGTGAACTAATCAATCGCTGTCGTTATGGACATCACTGTCCTATATCGGCACTTTTACAATAAATCTTCACTTGGTCAAAGGGCAACACTTATTTTAAATGTGATAGGCCGATATTTTTCGGCGTTGTTTCTACGTATTTTATTTTTCTAAAACAGCAGTTCTTGTTGCTTTCCTCTTGTTAAGTATCTAATTTGTGAGTCAGTCGCAGGTATCTAATTTGTGAGTCAGTCGGTTACGGAAGCAATTCAGGAAGCTGTCATAGTGATCAGAGACATTTCAGTGAATGAACTTCATTCTTAATTATCGGAATCGAGAACTAAGGATTTTTTAGCCCAAAAAAGTATGCACCGTTCTCTACAAAAATATCATTTGCAAACCGAGAAAAATTTGTTATATTTGTTACAAATTAGTGGATGGAAGAACAGATTAGTTAATTCAAAAAAAGGGTTTTTTTGGGGAGGCGTTTAGGAACGGAAATCGTTGTTTTAAGGGTTTATCGGCTGTACGTATCAGTGTTCGAAAAATTGTTCATGTGTTTGTATATGTATATAAATACAAAGAGAATAAACTGTGTTGGGATTGGTTGCGAATAAACAATAAATTGGTTGGTAAACAATAGGGTAGGCAAAAAAAGAGTTTCCCTTTGGAAATTCGGTCTAAAGGTTATTTGAGTTGACTGTTTTGTTTTTTTAAAAAATTTACATTATTGAGAAGCAGTTACTAGGGGATTTTTAAATGTATAATTTATATATATGCATAATTGAACATCGATTGTTATCATTCCCTTCTATAGTAGATTTCTGGCTTTTTTTGGCTGTTATCAATTTTAATAGCGGCGTATTTGTGCAATAAAATTTTATGAAACAGGCAACTATGGTTTTTTTATAGGATCTAAATTAACTTGTGGTGGTGTCTGGGGTTTGGTTATGCTGCGTAAAGTTAAGCAGCAGGTAACACAGGCATTAAATGCAGTGAGTCCTTTGGAGGTCAGTTATTTTTTGGCTCTTCGTTTAAGCTGCTTTTTCGGGAGTTAATTTTTATAATCTGTACGAGAAAAGGAAAAGTAAGAAGTTGTGAAGTTGTTTGTAATGTTTTTTATGTATGTTACAGTTTTACTTGGTCTGTTTATATATCGTTTTCGTGGTTTTACTAGTTGGCATATATTACAATGATATTCGTTTAGGATGAATAAAAGTT